CCCAGTAGCCCCATTAAACCCAGCCTTGCAACGCAAAGTCAACCGGGTCAAACCATCTAGCATTGTGCTGATCACAGGAGCTTGCACCTCACAAAGTCTTTTTACTGTATGTTTTAATAATTCTTGTAGTGGTACATGTGCTGAATAATCATCAACAAAGATGTTCTCTGAATAGCACTTAGCTTTGGACAATCTTATGTTGTTGTATGAAGGATATATATGGCAGTCACGTTCTTCAGCTCCATTTCTCATAAGTTGGTAGGTTGATTTTGACATGCCACCATCTATAATTAATGCCAGACCTTCATCAGGTGTATACTTTTTAAATTGACTAGAAGGTTCTGATATCTCAACAACTTGCTTGGCAGCCTCATAATTATACTCATTTCTTAATTTAAGACTTACTGAGTGGAGCAACTCATCACTAGAAAAATTATTTATAATATCATTAAGTCTTCTCCTTTTGGTTTTGTCAGAAGCATTTTTAAAGGAACAACTTGGTCTTCCACCACACCCAGTAGAACACCCAGTAGAACCCAAATTCATAGAGACTAAAAGAGATTCTACAGACAAAGAAAATGATTTATCACTCGGATTTAGTTGGTCATGCCGTATACAGTTATGGACATCACTTATCTTCATATCAACTACAAAAAAATTAATTTAAAATTATTAGTGCAACCACTATAAACTAATATAACATGAATATGGCCATTATTTTTATTTCAGATATATTTAATTAGGCCAGTACAATAAGCACAACACCTAATAATAACAACAAACCAAAAAATAGGTTTGTCGCGAGTAGCATTTTACAACAATATATATTTTTTAAATGTTTACCAAACCTAAAGGGGCAGCTATGAGCAGAATAAAACAGCACCAACAGGCTGTACATATATTGTATTAACTTATTCTACCATTAATATGCTGTTCCAGCAGGTTCTAAACTATATGAGCCACTTTTAACATAATATTTTTATACTATAAACAAGAATTTTACCTTTATATTTCAAAATAAAACTGTGACTTTAATACAAGACCTTGGAATTTGTTATGGTATTTTTTAAAAAACTATCAAATTAAATTTTAATAATATGTCAATTAATTTCGCATATGTTAAATAATTTAAAAGTTATTTGTTGTTATAGTTATGTTGTTATGGTATATTAAAAAAATAATAATAATAATTAATCATTATATTCAATTGTAAATAATAATTGTACATTTATGATGTACAATCAAACTACAAATAATGTTTTAAACCATACATTATGCTTTTATAAATATAATGTACTAAGTAGTTGGAAGTATTTCGAAATTTTTTTTTTGAGGTTTTGTCTACCACCTGGCCCACTGTGCAATGCATAAATTCGTGGAGTAATTTACTTCTTTATTTTCAATCACTCAACTCTATTTCACAATTTAAAAACCGTCTTTTTGACTACTTGTTAGAAAAATACTGTATGTTAAATGTTAGGACGTCTTTTGAACGTTCAAAAGACGTCCAAAACGTTCAAAAGACGTCTAAAACGTGTATAAGACGTTTAAAAGACGTCTTTCTTACGTCCGTGTCCACTGGGCATTGGGCACCCAGAGCAACGAATCTTACAAATCTTAATAAGATTTCCTAATAAGATTCTTAGTAAGATTTGTAAGACTTGCAAGACGTGCAAGAAAACTAGTAAAATCTTAGTAAGATTTGAAAGTTTTCGTGCGATTAACTAATAAGATTTGTAAGAAATGTAAGATCTTATTAAGATTTGTAAGTTTTCGTGCGGTTTCTTATTAAGATTTGTAAGAAATGTAAGATCTTAATAAGATTAGTAAAATTTATCTTAATTTCTTAGTAAGATTTAATTTGATATTTTTGATTTATCTTAATTTCTTAGTAAGATTTAATATGAATTCGTAGTAAGATTTGTAAGATTTTATAAGATTATTTTGTATTTATTCCGATCCTACTAAATTCCAAGCATATTTTAGCGTAGAGAATGCTAATAAATAAAACAATTATGTACTTTAATTAATTTTTTCTCGAAACAAATTCATTATTAATAATACAACAGAGCTCATGTTAATAGTAAAATAAATAAAAATTATAAGATTATTCCATACTGCATAGACACTTTAAATGTGAAAATTGTATTTAATAAAACCTTAAAAAGAGAAATTATTACCAACGAACTATAATAATACTCATAAAAACATTCAACGAAACTTTTTTCAGGTGCTTACAAATAAAAACAATATAAAACTGCAATATGCAATATAAAACTGCAATATGCAATATAAAACTGCAATATGCAATATAAAACTGCGCGTAGTTTAACTGTTCAATTATTTCTGTTTGAAATCAACAACGCAAAAGAGTCTCAATCTTTAATGGTATTTGTTATAATGTTGTTATAGCGTTCTGTTATGTCATGTGTAATAACTTCTTTTATTTATTATTTTTAAATTAACTTTAAAATTGCTAACAGTTAATTAAAAATAATAATAATTTTTCTTCTTTAAACTATAGAATTAGGAGGGTGTTCTAATGATCTATGCATCATTGTTGATGGAATGCAATAATCTATGCATCATTGTTGGTAACAAATTGTCATAAAACAATATTAATATGACACAAAATCTCTTGGTACAGAAAGTTTAAAGTTTAACTAAGTTGATCCAAAAACATAAAAACAGAAAAAGTTACCCTAAACAATTTTATGTAAACACAGCGCAATTGTAAAACGCTTTAGTGGTCAGACGCAATTGTAAACCGCTTTAGTGAACAGGCTGTTGACACAGCTGTAAACGATATCAGTGAGATAGAACTCGATTTCAAACAGAAATAAAATACAAATACGGAATAAATACAAAATAATCTTATAAGATCTTACAAATCTTACTACGAATTCATATTAAATCTTACTAAGAAATTAAGATAAATCAAAAATATCAAATTAAATCTTACTAAGAAATTAAGATAAATTTTACTAATCTTATTAAGATCTTACATTTCTTACAAATCTTAATAAGAAACCGCACGAAAACTTACAAATCTTAATAAGATCTTACATTTCTTACAAATCTTATTAGTTAATCGCACGAAAACTTTCAAATCTTACTAAGATTTTACTAGTTTTCTTGCACGTCTTGCAAGTCTTACAAATCTTACTAAGAATCTTATTAGGAAATCTTATTAAGATTTGTAAGATTCGTTGCTCTGGGTGCCCAATGCCCAGTGGACACGGACGTAAGAAAGACGTCTTTTAAACGTCTTATACACGTTTTAGACGTCTTTTGAACGTTTTGGACGTCTTTTGAACGTTCAAAAGACGTCCTAACATTTAACATACAGTATTTTTCTAACAAGTAGTCAAAAAGACGGTTTTTAAATTGTGAAATAGAGTTGAGTGATTGAAAATAAAGAAGTAAATTACTCCACGAATTTATGCATTGCACAGTGGGCCAGGTGGTAGACAAAACCTCAAAAAAAAAATTTCGAAATACTTCCAACTACTTAGTACATTATATTTATAAAAGCATAATGTATGGTTTAAAACATTATTTGTAGTTTGATTGTACATCATAAATGTACAATTATTATTTACAATTGAATATAATGATTAATTATTATTATTATTTTTTTAATATACCATAACAACATAACTATAACAACAAATAACTTTTAAATTATTTAACATATGCGAAATTAATTGACATATTATTAAAATTTAATTTGATAGTTTTTTAAAAAATACCATAACAAATTCCAAGGTCTTGTATTAAAGTCACAGTTTTATTTTGAAATATAAAGGTAAAATTCTTGTTTATAGTATAAAAATATTATGTTAAAAGTGGCTCATATAGTTTAGAACCTGCTGGAACAGCATATTAATGGTAGAATAAGTTAATACAATATATGTACAGCCTGTTGGTGCTGTTTTATTCTGCTCATAGCTGCCCCTTTAGGTTTGGTAAACATTTAAAAAATATATATTGTTGTAAAATGCTACTCGCGACAAACCTATTTTTTGGTTTGTTGTTATTATTAGGTGTTGTGCTTATTGTACTGGCCTAATTAAATATATCTGAAATAAAAATAATGGCCATATTCATGTTATATTAGTTTATAGTGGTTGCACTAATAATTTTAAATTAATTTTTTTGTAGTTGATATGAAGATAAGTGATGTCCATAACTGTATACGGCATGACCAACTAAATCCGAGTGATAAATCATTTTCTTTGTCTGTAGAATCTCTTTTAGTCTCTATGAATTTGGGTTCTACTGGGTGTTCTACTGGGTGTGGTGGAAGACCAAGTTGTTCCTTTAAAAATGCTTCTGACAAAACCAAAAGGAGAAGACTTAATGATATTATAAATAATTTTTCTAGTGATGAGTTGCTCCACTCAGTAAGTCTTAAATTAAGAAATGAGTATAATTATGAGGCTGCCAAGCAAGTTGTTGAGATATCAGAACCTTCTAGTCAATTTAAAAAGTATACACCTGATGAAGGTCTGGCATTAATTATAGATGGTGGCATGTCAAAATCAACCTACCAACTTATGAGAAATGGAGCTGAAGAACGTGACTGCCATATATATCCTTCATACAACAACATAAGATTGTCCAAAGCTAAGTGCTATTCAGAGAACATCTTTGTTGATGATTATTCAGCACATGTACCACTACAAGAATTATTAAAACATACAGTAAAAAGACTTTGTGAGGTGCAAGCTCCTGTGATCAGCACAATGCTAGATGGTTTGACCCGGTTGACTTTGCGTTGCAAGGCTGGGTTTAATGGGGCTACTGGGCAAAGCATGTACAAGCAAATTAGTAGTGAGGAAGCTGGAGATCGTAACTTAAAAAAAGAAGAATCTCTGTTCATTACCTGCTTAGCACCACTAGAACTCAGTGGGTTCTGTAATAATAAAAAAGTACTATTATGGCGAAAGGAAAAGCCATCATCTACTGCATATTGTTGTCCAATAAGATTTTTTTTTTCAAAATGAAAGCAAAGCAGTTGTTATAGAAGAAGCAAAATATTTAGAATCTGAAATCAAAAAATGTGGTGTTTTTAATTTTACTTTTAATGGAAAGGAACTGGTTGTCAAAAGTATTATTGAAATGACCATGATTGATGGCAAAATTCAAACTATTCTGTCTCATGTGACTAACTCAACTCAATGTTGCTCTGTGTGTGGTGTGTCTCCAAAAAACATGAATAACTTAGAAATGGTGCTGAAATTGGACAATTCTAATAATTTAGAATTGAAATATGGCCTTTCTAGCCTGCATGCCTGGATTAGGTTTTTTGAGATGGTATTGCATATTGGATATAAACTAGAAACTCAAAAGTGGCAGTCTAGAGCTATAGAAGATAAGGAAAATGTTATGCAAGTGAAGAAACGTATACAGACAGAATTTATGAACCAAATGGGACTAGTTGTGGATTTCCCAAAAAGTGGAGGATCTGGTAAGTGAAATTACATAAATACTTTTATATAAATCATCAGGTTAACTATCACATATATACAATTTGTAGGTACCAGTAATGATGGTAACACTGCCCGACGAGCCTTTGCAAACTATCAATCAACTGCCAAAATTTTGAAAGTAGATGAAACTCTTTTATTTTATTTTTACATCATACTAGTCACTTTATCATCTGGATTTGAAATTGACACTGTCAAATTTAAAGAGTTCTGTATTACTGCTCTTAAACTTTACATATCTAAGTATTCCTGGTATTACATGGCACAATCAGTACACAAAATTTTAGTTCATGGCCATGCCATCATTGCTAGACAGTACTTGCTAATTGGACTAATGTCAGAGGAGGCCCAAGAGGCCTGTAACAAGGATTTTAAAAAGTTTAGGGAAGATTTCAGTAGAAAGACTTCCAGAATCGACACAAATCGTGACCTAGTTAACAGGCTACTTGTATCTAGTGATCCTGTCATAACATCATTAAGAAAGTGTCATAAAAAAAATGGTAAGAGTTTAAAAAAATACCCCAGTGAAGTTTTGGCTTTGCTGAGGGAATCAGCTCCACCTTCTTCTTTTTCTTTGTAGCTAAACACAACTTGTTGTTTGATTTTTAAAAATATTGAAAAAAATATTTTTTTACTACCTAAGCCTATTAAATGTCTTTTTTTTTATTAAAAATTAAAATATTCTTGTTAAAAATAAATATTATTTCATATATAATGATTATTTATATATCTAAATGGGTTTGTGGACCAATTGGGTAATAATTAGGTTTTGTCCACCACTTCCCATATACCTGGCCCACTGTGCGGTAGTTAGACGAGTCAGATCGCTCTTCAGAATTTTTAAAAATAAGGATAACAGATGCCGCTTTTTAGCATGCCGGAAAACAAAAATTTTATAAGCACTTGTTAAATAGTTTTGAAAATATAGATGATACAAGCTATAGGAAAGTCTAAGCAGGAAATCCATTTTGGTACAGAGGCTGGAGTGATACGAATGTCTGATTAAATTACTGATAACCACGTCAAAAATTTCATAAATACTCTTTCTCAATTTAGTGCTTACCCCATGATTAACAAACTGACGCGTGTAACTCGAAAAACATCATCTATCATTGACAATATTATCACTAATAATTATAGTAACTCGACAATCAACAGTGGTATGATAAAAACGGATATCAGTGACCATTTCCCTGTTTTTTTAACTACAAATACTAAATGCTGTATAAATAAAAAACCCATAACAGTATACATAAGGCATGTAAACAAAGGCTCGATTGCGATTTTTAGACAACTTTTGCGTGAAATCAATTGGGAGTTATTGAATGATTGCAATGACACATGTAGCGCATACGATTTCTTTATCCGCGTCTTTACAAGGCAATATGAAAAGGCTTTTCCTAAAGTTCAGAAAACTATAAAATCCAAAAGTGTGCATAGCCCGTGGATGACTAAAGGTATTTTAAGATTATCAAAAAAAAAAAAAAAAGCTTTACGAAAAATATTTAAAAAACAAAAACTATGAAAACGAAACTAAATATAAAAAATACAAAAACTATTTTGAAAAAATAAAAAAGCAATCAAAAAAAAACTTCTATTCTGGACTACTTCAGAAATCATTTGGAAACGCTAAAAAAACTTGGACTATAATAAAAGAAATAACAGGGAAAACAAAAATTACATCTAGCAACTTCCCTAATCGACTGAAAACTGATAAAGGTGAAATTTTTAATAAAAAAACAATTGCTGAGAGACTGAATAATTTTTTTATAAATGTTGGGATAAACTTAGCCAAAGAAATCTCTCCAAGAAGCAAAACATTCCAGTCTTTTTTGAAAAAATCAGATTTTATTATGGACAATTCGGAACTTTCCATTGAAGAATTTCGTTCAGCTTTTGACATGCTTCAGAAAAATAAAAGTGCAGGTCTTGATGAAATTAATACAAATGTTTTGAAAAGTGTCTTTGATATTATCGAATTGCCTCTTTTCATTATTTTTAAACTTTCATTAAAAAACGGGGACTTTCCTGATCAATTAAAACTTGCTAAAATAATTCCAATTTATAAAAACGGTGACGATTCTTTAGAATCAAACTACAGACCCATCTCAATCCTTTCCAGTTTTTCAAAGGTACTTGAACGTATAATGTATAATAGAATATATAACTTCATCGATAAAAACAATATTTTATATCCTAAACAGTTTGGATTTCGGAGAAATCATTGCACTGAGCATGCTGTGATGGATTTGGCTAGCAATATTTTGAAAGGATTTGATGGTAATAATTATACACTTGGAGTTTTTGTTGATTTGTCGAAGGCGTTCGACACTGTCGACCACGAAGTCCTTCTCTATAAATTAAAAAAATATGGAATTCAAAATACTAATATAAAATGGCTCGAGTCTTATTTACAAAATCGTAAACAATGTGTGACGTATGATTTAACTTATACGCAGTTAGAAGTTATTAGTTGTGGTGTCCCTCAGGGCTCAATACTTGGTCCTCTGTTGTTTCTCTTATATATTAATGACATCCACTTATCCTCTAAATTCCTTAATTTTGTTCTTTTTGCTGATGATACTAATATTTTCTTTTCAGGGTCTAATTTAAAATTTGTTTTTTCTACTGTAAACACAAAGCTAATTAATCTCAATGAATGGTTTAAAGCCAATAAACTGTCCGTAAACATTGATAAAACTAAATACATTCTGTTCACAAAACCTTCGAAAACTGATAACATACCCCTGAAACTTCCTGATTTATTTATAAAATACATTAAAGTAAAAAGAGTTCATTCAATGAAAATCCTAGGTATAATATTTGACGATCATTTAAACTGGAAAAATCATATCCAATTTGTGGAAAACAACGTTTCAAAAGCTCTTGGGATCCTTTTCAAAACGAAGCACCTTTTGAATATAATGTGCTTAAAAAGCTTGTATTTTTCATTTATTCATAGTCACATTAGTTATTGCAATATAGCGTGGGCAAGTAATTATTCATCCTCTTTAAAAAAAATTAATACCAAACAAAAACAAGCGAGCCGGTTAATTTTGAATGCAGGTAGATATGCATGCGCCGAGCCTTTACTTAAAAAAAATTAATGTTTTAAATGTTTATAAACTAAACATCTATCAAAATCTGTTATTTATGTTTAAAATTTATAACAACATGCTTCCAACATATTTTCAGCCTCATTTCACCTTAATTAATCACAAATACTCTACAAGATATTCCATTAGCAATTTTCTCATACCTACAACATACCTTAGAAAAACAGACTTCTCAATAACATGTCGAGGACCACGTTTGTGGAACTATTTCCTGAATAGAGACATGAAAAACATGACTTCAATTAAACTATTTAAAAGAGCCGTTAAACTATACTTATTAGATTTAAATAATAAAAACATTCTTTTGTATTTTTAAAAAAACATTTATATATTGAATTGTTAACACGTATATATGCTTGTAGCCTATGTATATTTTGTGAACTGTGATGTGTTGTATTATGTACAAAACTTGCAATATTTATAAAACTTATACAACGTATATTTTAAGAAGCTAATACGTAAAACTTTATCGATATTTTCACGAACTTAGGAGCAGGGTGATAAGACACATCGTCTTCTGCTTGCTCCTGTCAGAATATAAATATTTAATTTTTAATTTTTAAAAAAAACATTGTAAAATGATTGTTTATTGACGAAATATATATATATATATATATATACTAAAAAAAAAAATGTCAAGCAATGAATCAACCTGTTTATCGGCTAAATCAGGTAGAACACAACTAGAGGAATCAGGAGATGATATTGATGAAAAGTTTTTAGAAAACAATTCAGTTTTGTCTTTAGGTGAGGTGACAAAGTTTAAACCATACAAGAGCGGTGGGATAACAGATTTGCCCTTATTATTGATACTGTTAAAGATTCTCCAGAAGTCACGAGAGCTTAATTTTTGTGATGAAATACGAGATTTTATGACCTAAGAAAAGCGAGCTTTGGTATTAGACAAAACCTTTTTTGCAATGGTTTCCAACAATAGGAAACAGACGTCTGTTTTTTGGAGAACTGTTTTACTGATAGAAATGGAAGTAATGGTTTCGATTGAAAATCGCAGCAGCACAATCTAAGGAAAACCATGGAGAAGAGCTTGACCTGGAATCATCGAGAATGAATAAAAGATTCCATGCCAGCCTGAATCCACGAAGTTATGTAAGAAGCACATTTGTCAGCAGGAATACAAAAGATTTTTATCCAAGTGCCATCACGAAGAAAATCACAGAAAGAGTCCCAGTTAGATTTAAGGTACTTTTAAGAGGTACGATGATAGGGGGATTCTGAGGATGAAGAAGAATGAGATTTAGAGATCAAACTGTGATCAGAAACACTTAAGGTGAATGTGGAGAAACTGAGCACAACTAGGATCAGAAACAAGACATAGGTCGAGTAGAATAGATAAATTATTCGGGTTGTCTGGAAAGCGAGTTGGAAAGTTGACTATTTAAGTTAGAGATTGAGAAAGGCAAAAGTTGAGGGCCTTAACGCCAGCAAAGTTACTGACACTAGAGCCAAGCCAATCAGTGTGATGAGGATTAAAGTCACCAACAATAACGATATTTGCTGATGGAGGGCTTTGTCAATTTGATCAGAAATAACATCGAAAAGAGTGCAGTCTTGAGATGAAGGAGAGCGATATAGAACAAAGACATAGGCGATAAAGTGAAATAGTGCTAGAATTAGATAGATTTACTGTTAGAAACAAAAGCACATAAAAGAATAGTCTGTAGAGTCAGTCCTAGTTTCCCGATTAATGGGTAAATTTTGGGAAACCTGACTACAATTCAGCCAAAGAACCATAAAACTGAGTTTTAGAGCTGTATCCTTATTAGGAGATAGTAGAATAAGTTGCCTAGTCATAAAAAAGAGACACAAGCAAAACCCATGCATTGAGTCAGGAAAAACCAGCGTTCAACATCTTACTGGAAACAATGTATTAAAAACACATCTGCGCCAGCCTAATAGATGAAAAAGGGGTGCAACACTGGTCAACAGATACAATCGTTTTGTTCACTCTGGTTAAGAATCATTCTTAAAAAGTGTTTCAAAACGATTTTTAAACTTTTCAAAATTGCTAGATGGTTATCTATGTATGTTATTAGTAACTATGCTTTTTTGGGTTTTGCTTATCAATTCAACGCTTAACGACTTGTTAATTTTGCTTAACTGAATCTGGTTCATTCACACAATGATCATTAAGTAAAATAAAGTTAATAGACTTGTAAACATAAATATAAACGTTATAAATATACACGGTTTCACCTGTTATAAATTCTCGTGGTTGATGAACTGAAACGTATTTAGTTCAAATTGTGAATTTATTTCATTATTGTTGCACCAAGTTTCCGTAATATAAACTATTTTAAAGGTGTGTTTAAGTGCATCTAATAATATTTTTAAATTTTCTAAATTTATATTTAGATTTCTGATATTAATGTTGAAAATTGAGGATATAAAAAGGGGTAACAAAAACCATCCATTAAAAAGCAATGTTTGGCTTTAGTTAGAGAGTGCTAGGGTAACTAAGTCCATAAATCA